TTAGCAGGAGGACAGTAAAAGCCTTCCTTTCAAGTGGTTTGACTTTTTACTAAGCATTTATATAGAGACAGGATCTATTAAGGAAGGTAGACTACATGTTTTTACTAGATCTTGCAGACATCAGTCTTGTATAATCCTTCTTTATTATAGCACTAAATCTATTAAATTCTTACAGTCTTTTTCTCTTACTAAAATCAGATATTCACTCTTTCTGAACCACAATAATTGTTTTTGATAGGTACTCATCTATAGCTCTTTTAAAAGTCAGGCTGAACTGGGTTTCTGTTGTTGTGAAGGTTGACATGAGGTAATGATTTAGAAATAATTACAAAGAGAAAGTGGCCTGAGGAATACCCAACAACTTCCCCCTCGACCAAGGGATTTTGTAGTTACTGCTTTATAACTCCTCTAGTTGTAGATGGTTTCATTCCATAACCACTATAGTAATAGTCATCATTAATAGAAAGTCCTCAAGAATTAGAGATTTACTTTGTTTTTAAATAAGCACCCAAACACTGGGATGTTAATTCAAAGCTTATCAGAACGTCACTGGTCTGGGAAATGCTTTGTTTCATGAACCTTTAGTAGCTTCTTGCAAGATTTGTAGTTTTGGATCACTTTGGAAAACAATGAAACCAGACTTCTTGGTAACTTTTCCCAGAAGTCTGATATTTCTTATTGCAACTGCCTGATGAGACATCTACATGTCTATTGTTTTATTTTAAGGCTGTAGTCAAATGTCCAGTTATGATTTGTGACTTGTCCATCATTGCTATCGGGCAAGGGCTGCTGTCTAATTTATAGCCCTTTGTTAGCAATGTAAATTAGGCCTTTATTAGCCAGCTGCTGAAATAAATAAAGTTCCTATTCTTTGTGGCCTAGCATAATAGAAATTCATTTTTCACTCATATCAGATTTAGATGTCAGCAGGGACTCTCGCCATGTAGCGTCAAGGGACCAGTCTCAGGAACACTGGTGCTCACGGTCACTCTCTTCCTCCAACGCAGCCTGCAGGAAGGAGCTGAGAGAGTGAAGAACCTCTCGGCAGAATTTTTTGTTTGTAGTATCATCACCTAGGCTCACTCTCCACTCACCGGAATTGAATCTCCTCATGTAAAAGGTCTGTGAAATGTAGTTCCTTCCTGGAGATCTGTTTCTCAGCAATACACACAAGAGAAGAAAAGCACAACTATTTCATGGGCAGTTAGCAGTCTCTCCACAACCTGGGTATGGCATTTAATTCTGAGGCTACAGGTGCTTATGATGTGTGCATCCAAAACACAAACCTGGAAAGTCATGTAACAATAAGTTCTTCACAATGGTATAAAGGGCATATCAAAGTGTGGGCAAAGGGTTTGTTTGTTTTTATACAGAGGATCAAAGCCTAATTTGGCTACGCAGAAAACAAATTAAGATACAATATGAAGAAGAACTTTCAACATCATTCTCTGGAAGAGTCATTCCAGAAGATGATCATCAAAAAAACTTCAACAAAGGTCCTGGTGCTGTTGCAGTTGTAGCTGCATTCATCCCACGGGTTCCTGGACTTACCATGGAAATGAAGAAGGAGATATCTAAGCTGGCCTGTGCATACAGTAAAACAACAAATTTGACTGGATTTATATGGTCGGAACTCAACCAAGAATTAGGAGAAGTGCAAGTTGCAGTGCTCCAAAATCTTGTGACTATGGACTATCTACTGTTAAAAGAACATATGGGATATGAACAATTCCCAGGAATATATTGTTTTAATTTGTCTGATTTTTCTCAAGCTATTCAGATTCAGTTAGACAATATCCATCATATCATTGATAATTTTTCACAAATGCCTAGGGTGCCTAACTGGTTTTTTTGGTTTCACTGGATATGGCTGGTAATTGTAGGTCTGCTTTGGTTATGTAGCTGTATTCCTATTATGTTAATGTGTGCACGCAATTTAATTAGTAGTTTAAAANGTGGTAAAGATACCTCGAGACAAGTGCTGGGCATAGAAGCCACAGGGCATAAATCTGCAAAGAAGTAAAAAGCTAACCTTTGCAAACAATATGGCTTCTCTCTCACTTACCAACTTTACATTTCCCTGTATGGCCCCGGAAGATGACTGGTTAGCCAGAGATGGGTAAGATTCCTCAAGGGAGGAACAACCTAAGACAGGCACAGTCACAGGGGGGCCATCAGGTGAAAAATTGGGGATCAACAGAGGTGAGGCTTAGAACCTCACCCCCCCTGTTTTGAGAGAAATCTACATCCGTGGATGTTTTGTTGCCCTTGTCTAGCTTGTATTAATACTTAGTCTATAGGCACAGACCTGATCATCTACATTTGCCCTCTTACAGCACTAAACTATGTTTTCTACCTTTATCTCTTTCATCTACCTACCACTTCAGCATTTTATTAAAAAAAATAATAATAATAATAAGGGAGAAATGTGAGATTCACATATAAATCAAGTATAAAAATCAAACAAATAATCATAATTGACCTGATTGTTTATAGTTCATGATGTGTGATCAAAACCAAAATTTCTATGATGACTGCCCTTGCACTGTTCACCATGTAAGAACTTATTCACTATGTAAGAACTTGTTCACCATGTAAAACTTGTCTGTTATGCTTCAGAAGATTGGAGACTGTTGAGAATTAAGCATGGGATTGATTAATGATTGTGCATTGAGTCCCCTATACAGAATTTTATTGTTGTTAACAACCATATGATCAATAAATATGAGAGATGCCCTCTCAAAAAAAAAAAAGCTTTGGAAATAAACCTTCTTCTCCTTTCAGTGGGCCTTCAATATAAGCAGCCAGAAAAAAAACCCTTGCATTTTTTTTTCATTCCCAAAGTTTCAGGTACAGTGAAAAGAAAATCTCCAAATTCCCAGTTGCCTAATGGTCATAAGGAATTCATACAGCCTCTGAGAGCACTCTGTCCTCTGTGTTGACCAGACTCCATGGCGATGACCTCAGTCCCAACCCACCTGATGGTCCACCCATCCCCGGTTTGGGAGTGCTTTTTGGCTTGTTGGTGGCCTGAAGGTCTCCCTGAAATCTAGCTAATGTGCTGGCATGTGCTGAAGATTCATGTTAAAGTAATTACTTTTGGCAAACAAAACTAACATCATAAATTTTAAAAATTGAAAAGGTTCTTATGGAAAGTGGTTTGTGTTTTTTGTATAAGCCTTATGACTATTTTCTCAGTTTACTCAGTAGTAAAACTAATATTCTTGATAGTTGTAGCATGACTGTTTATGTAGGGCCATGCTCAAAGTGCTTTAGAAATATTAGTTAATTTAACCCTCATAACCACACTGTGAGGTCCCATATTATTTCCATTTAACAGATGAGAGCATTGAGGCTCAGAGCTTTGCCCTACATCAAACCTCGAGGAAGTGAGACACCCAGCATCCTGAACCCAGGGAATTTGTCTCTAAATCCAGGCTGTTAATTACCACACTGGGCTGCTTGTCCCTTGGTTCCCTTTAAGCTGATTAGATCAAACTCATTGTTATTTGTTCTCTATTTTATGAGAGAAAAAAAAGTGTGCCATGCTGGGCCCCATAATTAATAGAAGGCACTGATATTTCTTAATCTGGGACCATGATTATGCTTTAAAAGATTTGGTGGAAATCTGGGCTGGGAAGTTGCTAATCAAACATTTGACTGAGATAGGCAAGATGAGGTCAGCACACTGTTGGGAAGGGTCAGCTAAACTTGGTACATATGTGCACAGACAGTTGTGGGGTAAATTGCAGAATTTCCAGAATCCCCTTTCTAACCTCAGTTCATTTGCATACCAATAGGTGTTTACAGCTGCAGCCTCCCAGAGGGGTGGAGAGTAAGCAGAGAGGGTGCTGTAGCAGCAGAGCTTGAGTGGCAGCGGAGGAGACAGAAGGGGCCGGGCCTAGCTAGAGTATTCGAGCAAGCTGTGAGCAATAAAAAATGGTTTCTCCCAACCCATCCTTTGCCTTGACTTACTTTCGTTTCACACGTTTCATAGGAGATTCGACCCAGGCGGGAACACACTTCCCCACAGGAGCTACAACAATATAAATAAAATAACCATTGGCTGTAGGCTGTAATTCCTTGAAGTGAAAGTAAACTAAAAGCACATGATCCTCAACCCACAGAACAGCTCTTTAAATCGGTCAGATCCCAGACTGGTTATCCTGTCTCTGCCCCTTTATCCACATCTTAGCATGGAATGTCTTTCTTTTCTCTGCCTCTTTTCAATCTAGCTCCTCCACAAAACACTCTAATCCATTTTGGTGTCTCTTTGTTGAAAACATCTGTGACTTACTTAGAAACTATTATTCAGATGTCAACTTTTAAAAAATATCAATGTCCAAGTTGTTTCCCTCATATTAGGTTTTAAATGCACTGAGTAGAGAATACATCTTTACTTGCCTTTCATCTTCCTACATCACTTAAGGCACACTTCATTCCCAGGTTAATGAAAACCGTGATTAAGTCTATTTACGGAGAACCATGTAGAGTGAAAAACCCTACCTGTATTGGAGCCCTATAAAGATATTATCTGTCAGTTCTTTCTAAAATTCTTACTGTATTATGATTTCCCCTGGTTCAGTAGTATCAGTCCTTTCTCAGATGTCTGAACTTGGAAAAGCACACACCTCAGACCAAAATGTTTTCTAGTGAAATAGCTGCACCATTGTTTACTTTGTTGACTGGAAAATGTTCTGATTCAACCAGAGGGCACTTTTAATTGTCACAGCTGTTAGAAGCTGAATAAATGAACAAGATCAGGATGCTTAGACTTTTTACCGGATCATAGGGCAGGGTGCAGCAGAGCAGTGCCTGAATGACCAGATGTGTGCTGAGAGGGCTTGGACACTTCCTGCCACACTGCAAGTGGTATGACCAAGTAATCACTGGCAGCTTTGTTCCCGGTTCTCCAAACATGGTATGAGATTCAAACAGTTGTTTAAAATTATAGTAGATTGTTCTACTTAAATTTATTTGTTTTTTTGTTTACATTTCAGAATGTAATTTGACATGAAAAATAATCAAGCAGACAAACAAATAAAGAAAGGTGAAACCTTCTGGCAAACATCTGTGAGTATATTTTTTCCTTCTGGGTATTTATAGGACACAAATCCAATATATTCACTGGAGTAATTATCTGGAGAATCTTCTAGAAATACCATGTGGATGGAGTCAATTATTCATCACCTATGAATCTAGGACTTATCAGATAGCAATTATTCTGGGAAGTCTGGGACAGAATTGTGGGGAGTCTTCACTTGACACATTTATAACATTGTTGGTTATACACATTTTGAACCATCACACTCTGTTCTTGATAGTGTAGGATTCTAAAACACTACTACTCAACTGATACAATTCCTTAGAAAAAGATCATCTTCCACAGTTTTATTTTTGTATTTGGAGTTAAATTAAAGAACTATAAATGTCAATATTGTATACTTTCAGGAATTATTTCTATGAATTTTTCTGCATGTTTACTTCCAAAATTATCTGTAATTCCATAAATCATAAAGTCAAGTCAAGAGTTATTTGGGTTCAGTTTGCTTTGAGATCTAAGGGTAGGCTTTTCGCACACATTCATTCATTTGGCAAATGTTTATCAAGTGCCTAATGTGTGGTACAGACTATTCTAGGTACACTGGATGCATCATTGGACAAGCAAAAGCCTAAGTCCTTGTTGAGCTAATTTGTAGCAAGGAGAGATTGGCTATAAACAACAAGCATAATAAACTGTAAATTGTCTAGTCTGTTAGAGGGTGACACACGCAATGGAAAATAATCAAGCAGATCAGGTTAAAGGAATCAAGAATGAATTGCAGGGTGGGCAGTGTTACAGTTTTCATAGGTTGATTTGGGATGGTGTAATTGAAAACTTGGCATTTGAGCAAAGAATTGAATAAGAGAGGGCTGGCCTTGTGAACATTGTGAGACAAATGTTCTAGGTAGAAGAAACAGCAATGTAAAGCTTCTAATCAGGCTCTTGCTTGGCAAATTCAAAAGGCCACCAGAGGGCCAGAGCGGCTGGGTCCAAGTGAGGAGAAAGGAAGAGAGGTTGGAGAGGTACACACACAGGGAGGGATGTGATGTGAGTGAGGGTAGCTCAGGAAGAGCCTTGTCAACCACACTGAGGATCTCCTTCTGCTCTAAGTGGAATGGGCAGCCACAGAGAGTTCTCTGTTAGCTTCACACGGCTGCCTGGTGCAGGTGTATGAAATATTGTCACTTCATCTTATGGATGAAGAAATGAGATGCTGAAGGTTGAGGTAGTATGAAAAACAATCTGTTTTCAATGATTTAATTTCTTATGAAACAGAAAGGAAAGCATTTGCAGATGGCCACTTTGCTTTTTTTGACACTCTTGTGAGTCTGCCACCATTCCTATTTTCATTTCCTTTTAATCCTTACAAGTAATCATATAAGATAGATATGTTTCCTGCTCAATAAATTAAAAAAATACAGGTTTAGAAAGGGTGTAAAATTTTCAGAAGTCACACAGCTAGTGAACATAGATTAAGTCTTTGAACCCAAATACAAAATGTTTTATAAAGTTTTATTAAAATAATTTTACAATTTTGACTAGGTATCATTTCAAACCCAGAAAATAAAACAAAATTGTAAAAGCATCCACAGACACCTCCAAATTCAAAAGATACTAACCTTTTGCCATTTTTGCTATAGATTACTTTTTTTTTTCATTTAGAAAAACATTTAGAATTTTTTTCCATTTAATGGAGAGAAAATGCTGTTTTGTTATATTAACTGGAATTTGATTATTGGTGAGGTTAAAAAGGTTTAGGTATTCTTATTAACCACTTAGTTACCTATTTTTTTATTTGCTTATTCATATTCTTAGCCTTTTTCCACTCTTTACCTTTTTCTTATTCACTTGGAGGAAGTCTTTATACTTTCTAGTTAATATTCACTTACCTGTTCTAGTCGTTGAAAATGTTTTCATGCAGTCTTTGTATGGCTGGTAATTTTGTTACTGTTTATTTCAAAATATACAAAAGTTTGGATAAAATGTATTTGTATGCTTCACCCAGTTTTCTGATCACAAAGGCAATATTTCAGTTTCTTCTCTCTAAAATGTATTTCCTTTAGGTGTCTGGCAAATACAGTTTATTATACTAAGAAAGTTTGTAAAAGAGGATGCTACATATTATTGAATATATTTTCTGCATTCCTTGAGGTGATTATGTAATATTTTTCCTTTAATATGTTGATATGGTGAATTATACTAATTGCTTTTCTAATGTTCCAGTAACTTAGCATCCCTGACATAAACCCAAGTTGCTAATCACTATTTTAATTTATTTTTTTATTACTTCTGCTTTTTGTTTAATACTATGCCTCAGTGTTCCTGAATGAAATGGCTAGTAATTTTCTCCTACTTCCTTCTCAGATTTTTTATCAAAGTTACAGTAGTCTTATAAAATAAGGTTAGGAGTGTTCCTTCTCTTTCTGTTCTCTGGAAGTATTTGTATAATATTGAAATTGATTGATCCTTGTATGTTTGGTGAAACTTGCTGTTGAAGCCAGCTTGATTTGGAATTTTCTTTATGGGAAGGTTTGTGGCTATTATTCAGTTTTTAAAATGGACTATCCTGTTTTTTTTTTTTTTATCTCTGCATGAGTCCCTTTTGGTGAGTTACATTTTGAGGGGATTATTCTATTGAAATTTCTCTTTTTTTGACATAAATCTATTCATATTATCTTTTTAATATGTACATCAATAATAAGGACGTCCATTTTTATATTACTGATAGTGCTTTTTGCCTTCTCTGTTTTACTTTATTAATCTTGTTAGAAGTTTGTCACTTAGTTTACTCATTTTTAAAAACCAACTTTTGGCTTGGTTGGCCCTTTCTATAGCATATTTATTTTCTACTTCATTATCTTTCACTTTTTACTTCTCCATTATCCTTCCTTCTTATTTTTTTACATTTGTTATACTGACCTCTTCCTATTTTCGCTGAAATGGATAATTTATTCATTAATTTTCATGTTGTTGTATTTTCTTTTAAACATATGCCAAGCTATTAATTCTTTAAGTCCTTTCTTGGGTGGATCTCTTAGTTTAGCTTGTATTCAGATAAAAATATTTTCTAATTTTAATGTAAGTTTTAGAATGCATTGAAAAGGAAATGCATTTGCTAATTTCCAAACATAAAGGATATTTCTAGGGATTTTTTTAATGAATCTTATTTCTAGTTAGAGAAAATTGCTTGTGTGGTTTAAATTCCTTGAAATTTATTGGAAATATTTTATAGCCCAGGATATGATCAGCATTTTATAAATATGCACATTGTAAACAAATATGCATTCTGTGGTTGTGGAACAGAACAGTCTATAAAAATCTACTAGATAACATTTTTAAGATGAGTTATTCAGATTTTCCATATCCTTATTTTTGTTTATTTTTATTGAATCCTTATAAAGAAAATTTTGTTAAATTCTCCCACTCTGATGTGTGCTCTCCTACTTTGCTCTTTCTTTTCTCTTCCTTCTAGTTTTATCAATATTTATCTTTTATTAGATACAGTTAAGTAAAAAATTTCATAACCTTTTGGTGATCTGTGGCCTATTACATCTTTTCTCATTGTGAAGTGACCCTGTTGAAATACAGTAAGGCTTTTTGTTGTGACAACTTTTTTCTGTTATTGCTATAATTAACATCCCATTTGTGAGGGGGAGTAGCATTTACAAAGTATATCTATTTCTAACTCTTACAGTTTTATTCTTTTTGTATCCCTATTTTTAATATGTATCCTGTTTATTTGGTTTTTGCATTTTAATCTATCTTATCTTTGCCTTTTAATTATAACATGGCTCATTTATATTTAATATATTAATGATATATTTGGAGTTAAATTGTACCATCTTTTTGTCCTATTTGTACAACCTGCTGTATATTGCTTTTTTTTATTTTTCCTGCTCTCCTTTGTGATTGTATTATTTCTTGTTACTGCATTTTTTCCACCCGACAGTTGGAATTTACAACTTTCTATTCTTTAGTGACTACTATAAAAAGTACCTGACACTTCATTTATCAAATACAAAGTTGTTCAATACATATTTTTTGTGGGAGTTGGCCTCCAGAGTCTATTCTTTTACCACCTATTTCCATTTGCATTGCTGATGGGGGGAGTAAGGTAACATCACAGAGCTGAATTTGAACTCAGCTTTTTTGATGCCCTAGGTCAGGTACATTCCTCAATAAACTAGAACTTACCTCAGAAGCCCCAGAAAATCATGAGCACAAACTCCATTACTTTTGAGTATTGAGAGGTTCAAAATCTCTTATTTGCTTCATTATAGAATTACTCCAGAATCCCATATGTTGTTTTTCGCTTGTGTAAAATCTGAAATATATTAAAAAATACCTACTGCTGTGTTGCCTATTTGCTTTTCTCTTTTTAAATGTTCTATTGAGAAGTACTGCAGAAATTTTGTCCTGACATGTGGGGGCCCAACTATTTCCTGCCGCACTCAGCTTGGGGGATGTAGCCTCTGGGTTATATTCTTTTGAAATTGTCCTGCTGAAATGCATGTTTTGATTTTGGGATTTTCCAGATGCTTCAAAAGCAGGTCCCATGTGTTAAAATTTGTGGAAATTCAGCATGTCTCTCAATGTGAGGCATTTAAGTAATTCACAAATTTAGAGCAGTTAGTCTATTAGTTGTGATGAGGAGATTGTTATTTAATTTTATTTCATTCTATTGTTTACGTATTATGTTTATTCTTCTATGCTTTTTTTGTTTTATATGGGTTTTTAAAAAGTCTCTACATTTAACAATTTGAACAACTTAATTTTTATATATAATTATATCCTCTGGCTACTTAAATTGAACAGACATTATAAATATAAAGCACATTAAGATAAATAAATGGATGATGTGCTCACTACTGACAGGTTGTCCCTGAAATTATCTGCTTATTTCAAGTTTCAGAATCCTATAATCACATAATATTTTTAAAAATTGGAAAGAAATTTAGATACCATGTCCACATACTTTCTCACTTTACTGATGAGGAAACTGAGACCAGGAATGTTTAACAGGTAATGGTGAGTTAGTCCTAGAATCCAACTTTCCTCATTCCTGTTATAAAGCCCAGAAACATATGTCATTCGTCTTAAACATAATCATTTCAAACATTAATGAAGTGTGATTCTGAAATATTGCAATGTTTATATAAGTCTAAAATTTTAGTCTTTGCCTAGGTATCCTGTCTTAAAATTTCTTATTGGGGCTAAACCACTTGCTAGTCACTTTGATAGGTGCCAGAGATTTAATGGTGAGAAAAACAGGTATAATCTCAGACTTTACAAGTACCATATCATATAAATGGAAGATAAATGTGAGACTCCAACTGATGCAAATATTCATTCCCTTTTCCCAACTCATTCCAGTCACCTCTCACAGATCTTTCAAACCTTAGACTCAATTTCCTTTCTTGAGAGAAACTTTCAGACTAGTCTAGATCTCTAATAACACACTTTTCTGTTATTTACATGTTTTTACTCAGTCTTACGGGAGACCACATGTATTTGAGATGTGTGAACTAGACCATGGAAGGCTTTATAGGCTTTGGTAAGAACTTGGGTTTTTATCCTTACATAATGGAAAGCCTTTCAAAGGCTTTAGTAATTGCTGTGTTTTAAGAAGATTGCTGGCTGCCTTCTTGTAAGGCAGTTAGCATTGTTGAAGGAGTCCAGTTAGAAAGCTGCTGTACTGGTTCAGTGGAAAATGCTGGTAGCTAATTGTTGGGAATCCCCCAGAATAGAGAAATGGATGAATCTGAGAGATATTTAGGCATTAAATGGAAAGGGTATTGGTAGAGAATTGGTAGGGAAATATTGTAAGTGAGGGAAATAGCAAAATAATGCCAATATATGCAGGTCCTTCCAATAAGAAGTGTAGCTTTTCTTCACTATTGAATGTGGACTGGCCTCTTGACCTCCTTTGGTCAGTGGGACAGCAGTAAATAGATGCTTGCAGAGCATTTGCATGCAAGTGATCTCTCTCATTGAACTTAAAACTGCACATGTGACTAATTAGGCTGGCCTGCTGAAGGATAAAAAGCCATGTAGAGAGAAGCTCCAGTGATCCAGCTGGCCCAGTGCAGATCCCTTAAAGAACTCTACTGAGAACAGTCAGCCTGGACTGTACCAGAAGGATGCCAGGCTGATCACAGCCCAAATTGCTGGCTGATTGATATTTGGATTAAATAAATGGTTGTTGCCTGAAAAAGTTGAAGGGTGGCTTGTTTCACAGCAAGTGCTAACTGGTACTGTGTGTGAGAGAGAATCCTATGAAATGGATAGAATTGATACTTTTCAAGAGATGTATGTTATATGAAGATTCTTAAATGAAAAGGTCTAGCTCCTCTCATCTTTGTTTCAGTAGTTCAAATTTAACTAGATCCAACTTGTTAACAGCCCACTTTATGTATGTCAATTCCCAGAGCCTAACGAGTTTTTCTTTCAAAGGTTTATTTTGTAATTTATCTTTTGCTTATTGCTGTTTTCCTCTGAATAAAGGTTTTTTGGGTTTTTGTTTCTTTCTTGGTTGGTGCAAAGAAAGCCTTAAAAAACCAGATGTAAAAATCAGTGACGGAAAATGCTTTCTAATCACAAAAAAATGTGTATGTTTAAGTAGATAGGAAAACATTTCATCATTGAAAAGTTTTGATGTGGGAATTCTTGATGCATTTTGTTAATTAAAAACATCTATTTATAAATCTGAACACTCTAATACAAATTCTTGACATGATGGAAATCTCTGAAAATGTAAAGGGTGCTTTATCTGAATGCAAGAAAAGGCATTGTACTCATATTAGCTTTCAAATTAGTTTTAGATACCACACAAAGAATAGAGAATATTCTGTCCTTTAAACTATATTCCTTACCCATCTGGGATAGTATCTGTCAGTTGTTATGTCTATCTGAGGTAAGTGAATGGCTTATTTTCATATACAATAAAATTTAACAAGAGAAAATATTAGACACAAAAATGAGTATCAAATTAAAAATATTTATTTATCTATTTTGTGGTAGGTAGGAAAGTTTTCTTCACCACCATAGAAAGTCAATCTGATTATTTAAAGACACATCAAAAAGTTGTCCACTTGCTTTTTTTTTTGTGATCTGTAAATTTTTCAGCCTTTCATAGAAAAAAACAACTTTAGAAAGAAATCTAGGTGTCAGATATGTCTTAACTTCTTTGTTATTTAACAATGTCTTGGGTATTGACTTGGCTGATAGTCCCATGCTATTAAAATCTAATTGAAAATCCATCAAATATTTTAAAATTAATTTTACAGCCTATAAGGTGATTCTGTTATTAGAGAAGAGGCACACATTGGCTAAGTGACCTGTTTGAAGTGACACATACAGTGAGTGGTAGAGGTGGGGCCACACCAGGGCATGCTGACATTTTGGCATGATTTTCCCCTTGAAAAATCATTACAGCTTATAGTAAGTGACACGTACATCTCTGTCCCAAAGAGGAATTGAAGAAGCTAGCGGCATGAAGAGTTTATACTTTGCTTTATGGTTGCATGTTTTTAAGTAACGTTATAGCAAAATAGTTTAAATCAATATTGGGAAGGGGGTGTGAGCTTAGTAACTTTGTCCTTTAAAAGTGCTCATATATTACTCAATTTTGACACATACCATATTGGTCCATCCAAGTTCAATATTCTGTGATTATGTGATTCTTTTGGCTGGGGGTTTTGCTCTTACAGGAACCATTTCAAGTTACTTTGGTGGATGCTCTGTAATCCTACTGTACTGGGAAAGAGTTCGGCTCTTTTTACACAGGAGCCTGCGTTTATTAAACTCATCCACACCCTGTGGTGTGTTTTTATGCACACTCATTTTGTCTTCTGAAGGAAGTTTCTGCATGTGGGAGAAGGGCGTGAAGGAAAACCAAGTCCTGGGCTCAGCGTGGATGATGATTACAACTGAGACACAAAAACATCTGCTGGGTTAAAGGCTCCAGCTGTTGGCCATGCAGAGCAATCACACACAAAGCTCTTGGTCAGGAAATTAAGAAGACCGGTGTCACTGGATCAAACTGTGAAGAATTCTGGAAAGACTAAATATTGCTATCCACACTGACGTTTGACCACTACAAAGGACTTAATAAAATATACTTGTTTCAGGAAAATTTCCTTTTCATTCCCTCTATTTTTATCACTGAGTGTAGTCAAATAATCTTGAGCCATTCTCAGAAAGGAGTGAACCTCTGGTACATAAATACCCTGAGCTGAGATGAAAATGTTTTATATCTTTAATTCACCTGTGTTTTTCTTATCATCATCAAAGAAAGTTTGCCAATATTTTGAAGCAGAAAGTACTTTTGAAACAGATTTAGCATTTAACTCATCACTGTTGATAATGCTTTCTTATTTTTCCTTCATCTGTAGACCTTGTTAGACAACACAAAGTCTAAATTTCAAAAAAGCACACACCTTAGTTATTTTTAGGACTTGTCAACAGTATTTTCATAAAATCAGTAGGCTATATTGATATTGACTAAATAAATACCCATGCCCTGAAGGGCTGTCCTGTAATGTGCCATGATGGTAAATCCCATTTGATGGATGACCCAGTGGAACAAGTCTTATAATTCTCTGGGATGTGGAAGGCTAAAATTTTATAAAGTAAAGGAAGGAATGAGTCCGAGTTTATTTTATTTGATGCATTATTAGTATTTAAGCACAAATAGCCATAGCAGAGAAAAACTATTATAATTAAGGAAATACACATACCCTAAAGCTTCTTTGAAACGCTGGGAAAGGCAAAAAAAATATGATAGACTAGGTAACTAATTCTCCAATTATTAGAAACAAAGAAATGCATTTTTTTTTAATGGGTCTTAAGTATTTGGGCAGAAATACTTAACTCTGATGCCTAACGTTCTATCGATCTGGAGGAACATCCATTTGCAAAATGCTCCTGGTCCCCTTGCCCACCCTCCCTCCTCCCATGGATGTCAAAAGGACTGTCTGATTGCCAGGCATCTGCCATGGATACGCTGCCACTCAGTCATGGGGGGCTGACCCACTAGATTCCTGTGAATGGGGGCCAGTGTCTTGTTTCTCCTTCTCTTTCCATCAGGACCAGAGGGAGGCAATGGCCTGGGTAAGTGTATTTGCTCTGCAAGTTCAGAATCTCCTTTGGGTTAAGTTTTTCAAGACCAAAGCAGTCAAATTGGGAACTGTCTCACTGAGTAACCTCCTCCAGTTTAACATTCATAAGATGGGAATTTAGCCCACAGTGGGTACAGACGTAGGTGGGTGAGAAGAATGTTTTTTATCAGACCATCTTTACCCTGACCTTGACATACTTAGTTAATTCATTGAAAACCTTGTGAAATGGAAGACAGGGCATATAACTGCAGACAAAAACACATACAGGGAGACCTAGGGTAGCATCAGGGCTTTAAGCCTTGCATTTTAGTAGGCGACTGTTCATCTTTAATTTTGACAGTGTGCCATGGCTTATGCTATGGAGGGTGGCTGGGTTTTCAGGTGGCTTTAGGATTTAGGCATAAGCCCTGTGAGATTTTCACCTTGAAAGATCATTGCAACTTAAGGTAAGTGACACTTTTTTATAGGCTGGTCTCAATTTCCATAGAGGTGGTGGGCCTTAAGTGAAGGAGCAGGTCTCAGTAAAGACACAAGTCTATACAAACATAGGTGGGTCTTAAGAGCTTTGGTTCAAAACCACAATCTGAGAAGGCTGGGTAGCCTGAGAAAATGTGCAAGAACCACACAGGCCTTAGCCAGGATATAAACTTGGTTTCAAATGCCACATATGTGACTATCCAAGGGCAAGCATGGATTTCACAAACAGAGTCTTCATGTGTGTCTAGTTAGTAATGGACTTGGCCGCTCTTGGCTGAGTTTGCCATGTTTTCCATCAAATCCACGGGACACTGAAAGTGCCAGCTCTAGGTAGGAGGCACCATTTACTGTAACTTTGCCCTGCCTTTGGAGCCAAGAAAGGGAACTGGGAAGAGTAACCTGCGATTTCTGAGACCAGTACTGACCCAAGAATCACTTTCTTCTACAAGTCTCACATTACTCTGTGTTTGTTTATTATATCAGATCTAACCATCCATGAACTTTTTAAGACACAAATAATGGCTTCTCTCAAATAAGAGTGACAGAGTTTATTACTAATTCAATAAAAGGAACAGGTGCCTTTGCCATAAGTTAGTGACTTGATCCATCTTGGAGCTTCCTAAGACAAATCTCCCCTGACCACCCGCAGCTCTGGAGGATGTCCGAGGAAGGATATTAGTGCGGAAGCTTCACAAAGGTAGGAGAGGGACCTCCGTGACCTCCAGATCACCTTTAGTGTTTAAGTCTCTACCACCAAAAATGCCTTCTGTTTTGTCAACAGTCGTGTGAAAGCTGCAACTGCTTTTACACTTTGAACCTAAATCATCAAGAGTTTGGTAAACAAGTTGCACAGTAAAATGAACAGCTTATAGTTTCCTGTTTTTTTTAAAAAAAATTATTATTTTGGCCCCTGTCTGCAGAAAGAGACCCATAATTACATTACTGATTCCAGATATGACTTGAATCTTGATTTACAGTTTAGAGGAAGGTGGGTATGAACATTTGGAACTGAATTTGTTTCTTTTGTGATGTGACTAAATTCATCCCACGTCTGCAAAGAATAACTTAATTAAGTTCCCAAAGTGCCTTAGGGTGACAGAGGACAAGACTTAACGAACTTTGAGGCATTGCAGAGTAACAAAAGAATTTTTAGGCATTGTTCCCCAGCTATGAGGAGGGCCTTTTAGTGTATTCTGCTTTCTGCTTTGAGGGTCCCTAACAATAGAGGTGCTATTCCAGCCAGAGTTTCCAGTCCTGAGTTTCGTTAGCAGAGACAGTAGAGCCAAAAGGCACTAATGGCCTGTGCCATCTGGCTTGTCAGCAGCCAGGTTCAATGAAGTAGTTAAGAAATATAGTCATTATTTATGCATTTTGGCTCTATTATTCATTTTGGTATATTTTCCCATGTTTCCACTGATTAGTCAAGATCAAGACCAGGCCTGTGTCTCCTTGCGTATGTCATTTCTGTGAAGGTTTTAACTTAAGATAGTTTTATAGTTTATTTGAGTAGAAGATTCTTCTCATATGAAACAAATAGTATCTTTTCTGTTATTTGGTAAGCTATTTAGAAATAAGCTACTTAAAACATTGCATAATGTACCTCTGTTGTTAGGTTAAGGTTTGGATTTAAGATTGAAAATACTTGGAAGCATGAGTGGTGTAGAATGCTAGAGTGGCTTATTTATGTCTTCTTTCTAAATTGTACTCAGAGTTTGGAGTGATTAGAATTGATGGTTGCTTCCCTCTAGAAATCTAAAAGCAGTCTGAGGCATCATTTTGAAAATTATTGTTTTAGCAATTTAAGAGCTTGAATGAATCTAATAAAAAAGTAGACAATTTTTCTTAACATCACCCAATTTTTCAGAAGTCGACCAATTCAAAGCCTATCTTTCTCTCCTGATTTCCTTTGCTGCATCCTTCTTTACTAAACTGCCCTTAATTTTTGGGTTTTTAGAGGGACAGATACTCATTTCACATATCATAATGAAGAAATAGAGATACAGAGAGGATAAGTTACTTGCCCAAGGTTGCACAGCTATTAAATAGCAGAAGTGAGATTTGAACTGAGGCTCATGAGGTTCTGGAGTCTTTAATGTCATAAATTCCCATACACAGGCCTAGACCCTCTTGAAAGATTCGGATTCAGCGAGTTTGAGTGGGGCTGGAGAATCTTGTTTTTATAACAAACAGCCAAATGAGGTCATTTTTCTTATCAGAAAGTTTTGGAAAACTCCACCGAATAAACATACAATATTTATCCTGGAAATAGCAAACATTTAACAGTAATTTTGGTTTTGCATAGAAATGAGAAAATACCTATGCAAGTTTGAAATCATGTATGTTATCTCCTGGGTTCCAGATTCTTACATAGCTCTTTCTTATGAGTAAGTTGGGAAATGTTTTCCATAACTATTCAGGAAAATAGCCTGAGTGGCCTAAAAGTAGCCTAACAGAAATTAGGCAGTAGGTCTGAAGAAACTGGCTGTGCCCTGCATTGTAAGAAATCACTGAAAATGGAACCAGCCAGTCTATGAGGATAGACATTTTTCCTTTGTTTAGAAGCTTCTGTGACCTGCTGGGCTGAGGCAAGAGCAGGAAATATGAAAGTCTCTGTTTTCTTCCAAAACTTGTTTTGGCCTGCTGGATATACAGGAAGTGGTAAAAAGCTGTATGGTGGCTCAGTAGGAACTGAAAGTCCTTGGGCAAATCAATCAGATCTGACTATTCACATCAGCAAGCCAGGATAATAATATTGGCTGAACTTATTTGAATCCCATCTGGATTTACTTACCGGCAAGTGTAAAGTGTTTTCAAAATACCAAATATTATATAGGGCATCCAAGCAGCTTAAATTTCTGCAGCCCCATCCTTCCCCTTCCTGCACTGCGGGGTACACTGCTCAGTGTGACAGAATCGAGTAAAACCCAGGCTTGCCCAATACGGTCTCCACAAGCTGCTTGTGCCAGCCAAGACCTGCCTGAGGGCCACCAACTCTTTATTAAACTCTGACAACAATCCTGGCAATCCTGAAGAAAATCGTGTTTAAAGCCTTATTGGTATCTGAATAAAAGCATATGAATGCTTTGCAAATACAAAAAGTCATCACTGTGATTAAAATTTTTTAATTTTCCCAGCACATAATTAAAAAAATTACTTCTCCCTGCCAAAGCCCAGGCCTATCGAACTATGCTTACTTTCATACATGGAAAATACATGGGCCTCTCCTGTTTTAATTTTGTCGACATTTCAAATGTTCTGATCTTAGATCCCTTTTGCATGGCTGCTAGACAACTCAGGCCTAGCATGAGTTACATACTTACGTAGGAACTTGTTACACATTTACTTGATTTATATACCTTGATCCTACCTTCACTTTATGCTTCCTACTTTGTTTCCCTGTGGTTCTGTTTTTATTATACAACTAACATCAATACTGTGCTTTAATGTGTCTTCAAGTTGCCTTAAACTCCTGGAATAAAAAACATGGTTGTTAAATAAAAAGAAGCGTTTGTTAAAAAATACTTCTTT